AATAAAATAAAATAAAATAAAATAAAATAAAATAAAATAAAATAAAACAAAATAAAATAAAATAAAATAAGTATTTTGTTGTATACCAACCAATACTTGATGTGAACCCGTAACGGAGAAACAATAAAAAAATTCTATAAACGAAAATTAAATTAAATTAAATTGGATTGAATTAAATCAAATTAAATTAAATTTATATAAATTAAATTAAATCAAATCAAATCAACAATAGAAACATAAGATAAGTTTGCTAGCGAGATGTGCTATTAAGAGGTCAACACTAAGCCAAAGGCAACGGCAAATATAAAGATAAATATAAATTCGAATTTGAAACGAAAACGTATATGAATACGGCGAAGAATATCAAAAAGGAGGAGAAGACTAATACTAAGACGAACATACATAGATACGATACTAACGAGTTACAACTTGAGGACAATATCAGAAACTAATATGAAGAATCTTATGAATACGAAGGTGCAGGTGAGTTAGAATACGAAGAGAAAGACGAAGGCAAAGACGAATATGATGCTTGTCAGTAATACGAAGGCGAACACGAGTACGATTACGAAGAAGAATAAGAAGACAAAGAAGATTAATAAAAATGTTGGTAATATAAAACGATGAAGCGAAATGTGGCCCAGGCGCACAGCTTTTTTTAGTTAAAAAACTCGAGTTTCTAAAATTCATTATTAGTTTTCGTTTTACATTACATTTCAATAAAATCCACTGCACGCATATGGCAAAAAGGTCAAACACAATCAAACTAACTCATTTCTCTTGCTCTAATACCATTTGCAAAATTTATTCCATCAAATTTGCAATGCTGCAACAATAACAAAACTCAATTTAATTTACGCTCAACCACCTGCGGTCATAACAACAATTCACCTGCAACCAAATCCTTAGTTATTTAAGTAAAAATAGTAGGATTTATACGAATAATGCTTACAGAAATATTAAGTAAATATTTAGCTAAACGAATGGAAAAGGGGGTGTTGAAGAAGGAGAGATTGCTGAAAAAGATAGTATTATGCACTTACACAAGTAGAGTGAACAATTCAGTTGTTGCATTGTAGTTGTATTTTGTATTTGTACTTATTTTACCGCAGACCACAAATGGTTAGACAGCAGCAAGTAAAGCAAACTGCCAAACAAAAGCTAGAAGAGTGATGATAGACCAGTGTATTTGTTATTTATGCAAGTGTGTTTGAGAAATTTTGTTTTGGGAAAATAAAATCCTTGTAACTATTACAATACAGATAAGGTTGTATACATATGCATTTGTTTCTAACGCATACTGATATATGAATTCCCAAATACACAGCGTAGTTAAGCAAATAATTTATCACCGCTTACCTGGGTAGTAAATTCCTCCCACATCTACACAATTCAAATCACCTGAGAGTTTAATGTAATAAATGTTCAAAATCTCTTTGCATTGTTTCCGTTGAAGAATTCACATTTAACGTTTTATTCAATTAGAGGCCAAATGTGTCTACTGTCATATCTGAAGCGCGCGCTCGCTTAACATAACTCGCTTAGGGACGCAAATCAACACATCGTTAAGCGAAGTTGTCAGCCCGCACTTTGGCAGTGAAATTCTTAACAAATAGTTTACGTCCATCAACGGCAACAAATGAGCAGTAGCAACTACTGTTTACCTGTAGAGGTGTTCACCTGAGTGCCTAGTCGGATACTACTTCCCCACTTATGATTGGAGATAACGGGTGATTTTTTTGAGGTTAGGATTTTCATGCATTAGTATTTGACAGATCACGTGGGATTTCAGACATGGTGTCAAAGAGAAAGATGCTCAGTATGCTTTGAAATTTCATCATGAATAGACTTACTAACGAGCAACGCTGCAAATCATTGAATTTTATTACCAAAATCAGTGTTCGGTTCGAAATGTGTTTCGCGCTTTACGTCCGATTTATGGATTCAGCGATGAGGCTCATTTCTGGTTGAATGGCTTCGTAAATAAGCAAAATTGCCGCATTTGGAGTGAAGAGCAACCAGAAGCCGTTCAAGAGCTGCCCATGCATCCCGAAAAATGCACTGTTTGGTGTGGTTTGTACGCTGGTGGAATCATTGGACCGTATTTTTTCAAAGATGCTGTTGGACGCAACGTTACGGTGAATGGCGATCGCTATCGTTCGATGCTAACAAACTTTTTGTTGCCAAAAATGGAAGAACTGAACTTGGTTGACATGTGGTTTCAACAAGATGGCGCTACATGCCACACAGCTCGCGATTCTATGGCCATTTTGAGGGAAAACTTCGGAGAACAATTCATCTCAAGAAATGGACCGGTAAGTTGGCCACCAAGATCATGCGATTTGACGCCTTTAGACTATTTTTTGTGGGGCTACGTCAAGTCTAAAGTCTACAGAAATAAGCCAGCAACTATTCCAGCTTTGGAAGACAACATTTCCGAAGAAATTCGGGCTATTCCGGCCGAAATGCTCGAAAAAGTTGCCCAAAATTGGACTTTCCGAATGGACCACCTAAGACGCAGCCGCGGTCAACATTTAAATGAAATTATCTTCAAAAAGTAAATGTCATGGACCAATCTAACGTTTCAAATAAAGAACCGATGAGATTTTGCAAATTTTATGCGTTTTTTTTTAAAAAAAAAGTTATCAAGCTCTTAAAAAATCACCCATTACATATGCAATCAAATTGATTATACGGCCATTAACCAATTTATGACAGTTTCAGCTGCTAA